TATAGGTTATGACCTTATGACTCGTTATGACTTACATTAGTCATAAGAAATTCACTCAATCACATTCTCATATTGGACCACATTAACAGAAATTATTTGTATTCTGAATTAAATTTTTGATCTTACAAATAATTTTCGAAATAAATTTTTAATATAACTTCAAATATAAATTTTCATTTAGTCCTTTCTATAAAACGATCAAATAGAACCACCAATCCTTCTCGTTGTACTGATGTACCGAAGTTATGCCAAAAAAGACATAAAAAGGAATCATTTGATGTTAAAATAAATCAGGAAATGTTAGAACAAATAAGTACAATAAATTTTGTTAAGGAGAATATTCCAGAGAATGCATTGTCATTTAGAGAACATGATTTAATTCTAACTAATAAAGAACCCAATGAAGCTGAAAAAACTGAAAAAATTGAAATTGATAATGAAGCGAATGAAAAGATGAATAAAACTGATGAAGCAGATGAAAAAATGAGCAAATCTCATGAAGCAGATGAAGAGATGAGCAAACCTGATAAAACAGATGAAGAGATGAGTCAAACTACTGAAGCAGATGAAGAGATGAGCCAAACTACTGAAGTGGATGAAGAGATGAGCCAAACTGATGAAGCAGATGAAGAGATGAGCCAAACTGCTGAAGCAGATGAAGAGATGAGCCAAACTAATGAAGTTTATGAAGAAGAAGTTGATGAAGAAGCCAGATTTAAAAAAGCTGGAACATTGATAGATGATGTTATTATTGATATTTTTTTTTTTGTTTTTTTAACCTCCACTAGTGGGACGCCATTGACAATTGTTTTAGTGTTCATTTATAAAATTTTAACACATAATATTTTTTTTTACAGGAATTAAGTACGCATTTTACAGATACTATGTATGATGCACCATTCATTAATATGTTAGGGAATAAGCCATTAAATGATGAAATTTTAGAGGAAAAATCCTCAGAATTTAAAGGTTTTGATGGAGAGTACGGTCCATACTTTCCAAATTTTACATCGTCTAAGTTATATGCTTGGATTACAAGACATATGATTAGTGAGTACAGAAATTGTCACAGATCATAATGAAATCGAATTAAAATGAAATTTGAAGTTTCTATTTAGTCCTTAAAACCAACTTATACTTGTTTAATATACATTCTACCTCTAAAGCTGACCCCTAATGCTGACCCCTAACGCTAAAAAAAGGCTAAAAAAAGTATTCCAAAATTTGTATTTTTCAGTGGCTTGTCTATTTTGTATTATCCAAAATTTCATTTTAATCTGATTTCATTTTAATCTGCTACAGTAATTGTTTGGTAATTAGTTATAGGTTCCAATCTGAATCGGTGTTACACCAGTATATAATTTTTTAAAAAATGAAATTTCGACCCAGATTGGAATCCAAGATAAATGCATATATCGATATATGCATTGTATTTACAAATATGGTATCATTATGTAGCAACTGAAGCTTATGAGGACCTTGCTGAAATTATTACCCATGTTAAGTTCCGCAAAGAAGATGTGGTCAAAAATATTAGACATATGCGCAAGTGGAGGTATAGATTGCCTTTACTTACAGTACGTCAGCATGAAGTGTCTGTTTGTAAAGAAAAAGCACCATCAATGCTCATGCCTACCAAAAAAGCATATACAATTTCCCCTCTGGCACACTTGGATCATATACTAAATAATCTGACAATAATGCCCAAGCTATATTTTGGGCCTGGTGTTGTCAAAGAGGAAAAAAGTGAATTTTGGCATGGAAATCTTTGGCAAAATTCACCACTTTTTGGAGAGCATGAAATAAAATGCAATAACAAAGGTTAGTGTGAGTTCTGAAGTTATTAGCTTTAAAGTTTCTAAATAATCGTATTTGATTAGTAATATATAAGGCAGGAGATTTTGTCTTGTGCCAAAAATCATCCCAATTTATATGTTGCATACATGGTGTTGTGACAAACGAAATTAATAAAGCTTATAAAGTCAAAGTCGGTCGGCTCCTTCAACACTCAAACCTTCCTAATTGCCGATTTGATAGTGATCGACATACCCGAGGCAATGGGAAAGAGTTGTGGATTGTTGAAGGAGATTCAACATTTATTGACCAAGAAGACATCTGTCAACATATTACAGTGTGGCTTTGCGATTTACCAGAGCCTCACACTTATAATTACTACGTCAAAGAAACTGTATATAATTTAAATGGTCGTTGGAAATATCGTGATATTTCAAAAAGGCATCAGTTGCCTTATGAATATATCACGATTAGACCCCCTCCACAACCAATGCCAATATTTAAAGTATTTTTGGATATTTATTATGACAATTTTGGTACCTACAGGAATGTTTATCATTCCTTGGGGGGTGTGTATATGCAATTAGGTAATATGTTACAGTCAGATCGGAGGTTGCTTAAAAACCATTTTCTTATTGGTTTGGTTCCATTTGGTACTAGTTTTGATAATTTTATCAAACCAGTACTTAAAGATATACAGCATTTAGAAAATGGTTTAATTATGAATACATTATATGGAGAAGCTTGGATTGTAGGTGGTATCGGATGTATCACCTCAGACTTACCACAAGGTAATGATTTGGCAGGCATTAAGCGGCATAATGCTCTTCATGGTTGTCGAACATGCAATGCCTCAATCAACCAATTTACTGATCCAAGCTATAATTATATTGAGAATGCACGTTTTCAGCATTTTACTAAAAAACAATTTTTAGACATTAAAAATCAGCAAACAAAGATAGGTAAAGAACAATTAGCTACTACA